TGATTTTCACCCATTCTTTTCTCTTGGTTCTCAGGTTGGATACTTTCCATTTAGCTGTCCTCAAGTTCTCTGATCTAATTAATCCTTTTCTTATTATATCATATTTTTCATTTCTAGCATTTCATTATGCTTGTACGGTTACCATGTTTTTGGCATGTTCTATTTCTTCATGTATAGGCTACATTTTCCACTAGATTCTGTAGCATTTTTACATCTATTGCTTCCAGTTTTTGACCTCCACTAGATTTTTTTAGTATTTTAATCAGTTATTTAAATATTCTAACTGATAATTCAACATTTGGGTCATCTCTGGTTCTGCTTCTGTTGGACCCTTGCTCTGTTACCATGGATTTCATATTTTTGCTTTTGCATACATCATATATTTGATTGTGTGCTGGACATTTTGTATGAAAAACAAATACCTTCAAAGGAGAGACTGAAGTATTGCTTACCTGCAAATGGATCATAATCATTTTTCTTAACAGCCATTTGAGTAGGGAGTCAGTCAATCTGGTGTATATTTGATATAGATCTCGGATTATCGCAGCTTTAATTTGATTCACTTTACCACTACTTCAAATATTTTGAAGATAGAATCCCATTCCCTTCAGCAGGGCCTAGGTTTTGGGCATTAAAAAGATTCCAGAGATATAACTTTGTTTCATGGCCAAGCTATCAGCTTTTGGAAATATCAGAGATCTCTCCTTTCTAGTGGAAAATGTGAACAAACCAGCCAAGCTGACAGGTTTTTGGTTACTAGGAAGCCGAGTGGGAACGTATTTGTCTCAGCTTGTGTGTGTGGCCTACCTTGGTCTTTTCAGGAAGAATTCCCACAGGGTCTTGGGGATGGCTCTCAGTTATCTCCTCTTTTAGCCTCCAAGAGCGCCTCTGATGTATTTCTCAGAATTCCTGCCTTGCCTTCTCATTTTTAAAGGATATCTTGTACTTGGGAGAAGCTTCTCTTACCTCAAGGAGGTGATTTTTCTTAGCTCTTCTATTATCTACCCCCTCCCACTTTCAGTCTGTTACCTCCCTGTACTTGGCTAAGATTCAAAAGGTAAGATTGGTGTGTGGGTGCAGGCTTTCTCTGTGCATTTGGGTCATCTAGATTCAAATGGTGTGCCAGCCTCTATAGGGCTATTAAAATTTTGTTAAATTTCAACTAGTTTTTCTGTACTCCCCTGTGATAGATTCTTCTTCCTAGCGTAGTTCAGCCAGGAGTATGAGCAGCTGTGGGTCTCTTCTCTCCTATGAAGGACTTAATACTTTCTTTCTGGAGGTTGGTTCATTTAGATTTCTTTGTATTCTCAGCTTTCTGATCAGTTAAAAATATTTTTGATTTTCCAAATCATCTGGCCTTTTCCTTGTTTGTTAGGGTGGGACCTATCTTCTCCTGTGATTTTCTACATCCGGATCAGAAGTGAATTCCAGGAATGGGAGTTTAAAAAATGGTTTCATTTGTGTATTTTTATCAACTTGTTTTTTTAAATTAAGAAATGGATAATAGGAAGTTACATTTTATAGAATGATAAACAATGCAAGTGCTAGGTCCCTGGTCCTCTCTACTCTTTCTACAATGAAGATCATTACCAATTTCTTGTGATTTCTTCTCAAAATTTTATTTACATGTGTGTCTTCTCCCTTATGTTTAAAACACAAATAGAAGCATAATTTCTACTCTTTGCTTTTTTCATACTACTATTTTCACCATCGTTTTTAGTCTTTTACAGGGCTGCATAACAAATCTTACATTGGATAACTGGTTTATTTAAACAATCCCTCGTGATGGACATTGGGTTGTTTCCAGTATTTTTTCTCACAAACAATGCAATATATATGTCTTTTTTCACATTTGCTGTCCAGTATATCTGTAAAATAAGGAATGGGCATATTTAAATTGCTTCATGAAAGCTCCTGGAACTTCATTTTGTTTTGAAGTGTTTCCCTAGGTGTTGGCTGGATTCTTAGGAGTTAGTGGTATGGATTTTGTAAGGCCTGCAAAAGAGGCATAGGATGCTAGCGTTGCCTGGCAGGTGGCAAAACAAAGTTGGCTGTAGACCCTATCAGAGGAGGAATGACATATTAAAATATTTAAAATGTAGAAACTCAACTATAATCCCTCCTTTATACGTATATTGGGGATGTTGTAAAGTTACTGATGCTTGGTTTCTCTCCTGCCTTCTCAACCCCTACCACAGCAGGGAAAAAGATAAATGATATCTATCTCCTTTTCCCTCATTCCCACATATCCAGTTCTACACCATAGGAAATTTGTTTGGAACGCCTTACCCAGCCATATTACTTGAAGGATCCTGATAAGCAAGGTTATATCCAAGGTTTTCTAAGGGAAGTGAAGACTTGTGCTACACACAAAAAAACTATGTGATTCTGGGATCTTCCTGTGAATATGTTATGTTTTCTGAAGAGATTTTTCTAATTAAAATTAGAAACCTATCTAATTAAAGCACAGTTTGGTTATTGCAATTTGAGGAATCCACATCCTTTTAATTTAAAAGGCCCTTGTAAAGAAATTGCTCTTATAAGATCTGGGATCAAAGGATTTAAAAACAAAATAATAATAATGACTTCTATTTATTTAATAACATAGGCATAAACAATGTCATTTAGTACTCACAGAAACCCTTTCAGGGAGATCTCAACCATCAGGCAGCATGCTCATGAGCTTTCCATCGACACCTTCCTCAGGCTGCCCATCTCAGTAATTGACTGTACTGTTCATCCAGTTGCTTTTAAAGTTAGAAACCTAGTAATCTTCCCGTGATATCTATCTCCCTTTCCCTCATTCCCGCATATCCAGTTCTACACCATAGGAAATTTGTTTTAGCTCCTAAAATTCTTGAGAATCTATTTTTTATTCCATTTATTTTCCCATCACTCTAGTCCAAGTGAATTATTTCAGCATCTCTCGTTTGCAGTATGCTTTAGTCTCTCCTAGATTGTCAATTCTTGCCTCCCTTCTCAATTCACTCCTTACTCACTTAGCTAACATGAACTCTTTAAATGTTAATTATGACCATGTCAGTCTTGCTCAAAACTCTGCTTTCCCAGTGCTCTTAGAATAAAAATCCCTCACACAGGCTCTGAGGATCTGCACCACTAATCTCTGCTGCCTATATACCTATTGCCATTAATTCTCTTCCCTGTCCCTCTTTCCAGGCACATTGTCTTCTTTCTGTGCTGCGAACTGGTCAGGCATCATCTATCCTCAGGGCCTTTGCACAAGCTCCTCCTTTGCCTTAGAGTTACTCCTCAGCCTACTCCTCCCCCAAGCTAATGCCTTTTTCTTTAGGTCTCCTTTTAAACATCTCTTACCCAGGGAAATTTATTTGTCCAGATAAGCCTAGATTGGATCTCCCTGTTATTTGCTATTACTACTATACAGGTTTCTCCTTAGCATTTACCAAAATTCTCATGATATATTATGTTCTTTTAATTTCATTTTTCTCTATTAGAATAGGCAATACATCATTTGGTACCAAGTGAAATTGTACAAAGATACAGGGTAAAAAGTTTCTTCCTTTTCCTGTCCCTCTGCCATCCAGTTCTTCTAAGAAGTAACCACTTTTAGCATTTTGAATATCCTTCCAGAAATATTACTAGAGTATACAAGCAATAATATACATAATATTCCTTTTTTTACCTTTTCTTTTATTAACATGGATACTATGTACATTTTTATGCACTTTTTTATCTCTTAATATCTTGGCAATTCTTCTATATCAATATGTAAATAGTTGCCTCTTTTGTTTTCATGTATCACATAGCATGGGTTTACCATAATTTCTTTAACAATTACTGGGCATTTGTTTTCAGGCTTTGGTTATTACAAACAATGCTGCATTTCATAACTTTGTATGTAAAGTCATTTTACAAATTTATACTTACAGGATACATTCTTAGAAATGAAATAATTTGGTTAAAGGTTATATGCATTTAAAATTTTGGTAGTTAGTGCCAAATTGGAGGTTTGTACTAATTCACATTCCTACTTGCCACAGATGAAAAATGTGTTTCCTCACAAATGAACAAATTTTTGTTCTTTGCCAATGTAAGAGGTGCAAACTATCTCTTGGGAACTTGAATTTGCATGTTTTTCTTATTTGCAAAGTTGTATTTTCATGTGTTTAACAGCCATTTTTATTTTTTATTTAGTGCACGGTTTCTTCATAAACGTTGCTTACGTTATTACATAATGTCTGACTTCCTCGCTTGCACTCTAAGGTCGGTGCTCTGGGTGCTGGGATTCTATTATTTTTTCAACCCATTGCTCTCGTGCTGGAATGATTGAAGCTCAAAGCAATGACTGGACTCAGGACATGCAGTAGTAAAGTCCAGAACTCATGTTTGACTCCAAAGCCCACACGTACTCCAAGATCACCCATTGAAAAGACTAAGGATTTAATTAAGTACACAAGGGGCCAGATAGGTAATGAAGTGTGCGGGGAGTGAGAACCCTGGCAAAAACGCAAACAAATATCTACAGTCGCAGCCCTTCTCAGATATATTTTATGGCCAGTCAGGCCCACTGTCTGATCTTTATTCATTCCCAGGCCGGATTTTTGGCTTTCTTGTTAAATCTCATTGCCTGCGCTCAAATGCAGGCCACCGGCAGCAGGTTTGCAAACTCTGGATTAAACAACAGTGGAAGACTGAAGAGGCGAGTACCTCAGTTGGGTAGTGACAGCCAAGAAACGAGGAGGGTTTTATGTAAGGCGAGAATGAAGTTTTCTGCCCTTGCGTTTGGGTTTGGGGAGCTCGCAGGAGCAGGACTCGATCAGAGTGGCGTCGGAGCAGGACGTGGCAAAGTGGAGGGTGAACCGCGCTCCAGCTGCCCGCCACTCCCGCCAGCGCGGTCCCGGGTTTCTCCAGCGGCGTCCAGACAGGACTTGGGGCGGTAGGGGCTGCCCGGGATGAAGGGAACGTGTGGCTGCGCAATCCCTCCCTGGCTCCATTACAGCCAGGCCTAGTCTGTGTAGAATGAGCCTAGTCTTCTCCGGTTCCAGAAGACCCTCCCAGCGAAGCCTTTCCCTCGCGGTCGACTTCCTCTCCAGCTCAGGCCCCGCCCCATACCCCAGTTATACGGCTTCCGCTTGCTGGTCGTCGGGGAACCCCCAACTTCCGGCCGCGCAGCAGAGGGCGCAGCCAAGATGGCTGAGGAGAGCCTCGCGACGGTGAGCGCCGCGACTATGGTTTCGTGTTCCGACCGCCAGGCGGGGGCAAAGCAGCGCCGGGCGGGGCGGGCTGGCGGGAGCCTGTGTCCGACGCTGCTGACCCTGGGGAACAGCGGAGCCGGTCCGGAGTGTCTCGGGGCGGGCGGGGCGACACGGTTCCGCTCCGGGAACTGGGAAGCCTGGGGCAAGGCTGAACGTTCGCAGCCCTGGGCCTGTGCTGGACTCTGGTCCCTCCTGTGGTGCGCTGCGTGGAAGGGGAGGTTTCCATCAGAAATGGCTCTTTAGCCCCGTCTTTCCTGTTTCACGAGGTTTGGAGGTTGTGCACTACCACTTGTGCACAGATTGTTTCTATTAATGCCCGGATTAGGGATTAAATATGAGGACGCTTGCAAGCTTTCAGCGTCACGCCTTCTGCCGGTGGGACGGGCCCACGTTTCTCTGCTGTGGTCAAGTATCGGAAAGTACTGTTGTGGGTATCAGCTGAGCCTGAGTTAAGCGTTGATTCAACTCCACGGAACTTGCTAATACAAAGTAGCTCAGTATTATGGGATGACTACATAATAGTTAATTTTGAGGCGTCTATACATAATTGGATTTAATTTCTGTACCGTTCCAACTGTGCAACCTTGTCTATGTTGTTTTAATGCTGGGTTTCAAAGCATGTTCTGCGCATCTGTTAGAATGACTTTAGTCTTTTTTTTTTTCCCGGAATTTATTGCCCTTTGAAAAACGCCCTGGAAAACAGGAGAGACAGTTTTTGGTTGTTTTACAACTTAGTGTTGGCTGTAGAGGAGCAAGGCCATTGTCAGTCTGTCAGGGGGGGCCTGTTTATTTTCTAGTCTCTTGCAGAGAAATCAAGTTGTTTTAGTGTAAAAAGAGAACTCTGAGTTAAGAAAAGGTGGGCCAAAGCAAAGATTTTAAAGGTACGAATTAAAAAAAACAAACATGGTTAATGTTGCTAGATTTTACGTTTAGAAACATACCAAAGAAAATACTTCAACCAGCATAATCTTAAATGTAAGGTGTAATGGTAACGTGACATTGCTACAGGTATAGTCTGTAGTGTTCACTGCAGGTATAGGTACGTGTTTATGATTTCCGTGATGGCAAAAGTATCCTGTAATTTTGAATCTCTTAATAGTATTTTAAAGAGAATGGCTTTTTTGTTTTGGTATGACTTTACTTTAGCCCTTGAGCCTAAAGTTAGCTAATTGTTTTCACGATTGTCAAGTTTGGTGTTAGCAGTGTATGTTTACAGTAATTTCATCTTTTCAAGTTACCACTACATGGAAATTTGAATTTCTGTTCTTTTTTGAAGTGATCTGGCATCTTGTAATATAATTGGAAGGGCTCAACAATCCCATTCCCAGAACTGTATGTACCCTGTTCAAATAAAAGCAAATGTAATAAAAGCACATAGTGCAGAGGTATTTATTGTAGTACTTTGTAGTGGCAAAAAGCTGGGAACAAAGTGAATGCCCTTTAGTAGGGTAATGAATGGCTTCTGAAAGGTCCATACTGAGGAATATTATGCAGCCATTAAAAAGAATATTAGAACTATAAATGTTGATGTGGATGGTATACATTTAAATAAAAGCTAGATGTGGAGTGGGGTGTTAAAGTTCAACTGAATACATTTTAAAGATCTTACTGGTTTTATTCAGCAGTTCATGAATGGGCAGCATCCAATCTAGCAGACAGAAAGGAACTCTTGAGTTGCTGTACAAAATGAAAGGCTTTTATAGGCAGAAGGGAGGGAGCAGGTACAAGGAAGTTACGCTAGACAAAAAAGCACGTTCGTTATTGCAAGGCCACTTTCTAGAGGGGAGAGTAGGGGACTGTTAGGCAGATTAGCTAACTAGTGCTGGTCAGGTGATTCCTGACTGGTTTAAGATTCCATTTCTGGGAGAGCCAAAACTGTCACTAAGTCTTGCTTTTGTGACATGGGGCTTAGCATAAGTAACTCTGGGGCCTGTGGTCTTATTTATTTATTTATTTTGGAGAGCAAGGTACAGGCTTTTATTTAGAAATAAAGTGAGAGAATAGAGCTCCTGGCTCACGCCAGGAGGGGACAAGAGAGCCGGTAGTGGTGCGTTGTCTAGGGGGTTTTATAGGCAGTTGAGGATTTTTCGAGAATATGAAAAAAACTTAGGGGTGTGGACTTGCATCACCTGGCCTGTCCTCAAGGTGGACTGCGTCATTGTCTGATTGCCAGGGCTGACAGCAGAGTCACGGGTTATGCTGATACCCTTGCAGAACACTCAAACATTCCAGGCCAAGTTGCTCCTGGCCTTTTGACCTTTAACTGATCTCACTGAAGAATGACTCTAGAGCTGAATGTTTACCACAGAGTTTTGGTAGGCGGTTTCCTTGCATATAGTTACATTGCTGATTGCAAATATCCTGCCTTGTCTTTTCCGGAGGCCATCGCCCTATTCTGTCTAAGCTCAAGGTCCCTGTCTCATTCCCCCCTCTACAGGTGGAGACCCTAGCTGCTGCTAGGGAAAAGGGGCGACCACCGCTCTGGCTGCTTCATGCTGAGAGGGAGCGCATAAAGGGTGCAGTTAGGTCTCCATCAGTGGTCAGTTGAGAGGGCCTCGGAAGATTGGCGCTTCTATTCCAGGTTCCATTTCTGTTACTATTTGCAATTCTGTGGCTTCTAGGCAAGATAGAACAAATTGTGTTATTAGGTTAAGTAGCAATATCTGGAGTTGGATTTTCCATTCTGGAAGGACAACCTTGATGAGATGAAGAATGCATGGTTGAATATGGGAACTAGAAATAGTAAAACTTTAATTGAAATGATAGGAGAAAACTAAAACATCTGGAAAATCATAGCCAGATATTTTGAAGAAGCTAGAATTCTGGATCTAGTTTATGTCTTAATGACTAGTATTAGGATTTAGTATGGATAAGGCTGCATTATTAAAGCAATATTCTTCTCTAAAATCACCCTCATTTTTATTAGAAGTAGTAACTAGATTAAGAAAATAACACTTGTAGCAAGAAGTGCAGCAAGAAGAGCAATTGATTACATAGGATCTTTTAAATGTGCTTTGCTGGAACTTTTTATAAGGAATTTCAGATTGGACTTTTGAAGGCGTCTTGAGGCCAGAAAGCCAAGCCAGACTTGCCATCAGGTCTTGCCTGCAGTACCTGTAGATTTGGGTGAATTCCTCTCTTCTCGAGGTCCCTAAGACATCTTGAGGTTCCTGCACCTGCCAGGAAGTGACCTTCCTTCCTCACCTGATAAGGCTGCTGGGAACCCTGTAAGCAAGGTACCAGGCCTGTTCTTCCAAGGGGCTTTGTTGGCTCTATAAAGTCAACCTTAGTTCCTTAAAGCTGTCTGTTCATATTTGAGTTTATGCACAAGTCTCTTAGGTAATGACATTCCAGTCAAAGCCTTGGTAACATAACCATTGTTTTTAATTGGTCTTGTTGTAAGGAAAGCAGGTTCTTACTGAGCTTATGCAAAGCTCTTACTGAGCTTTATACTGCCATAAAATATAAAAATACTGAAAGCTTTTAAATTCTGGAGGGGTCAGGTAGAGAGAAAGATAAATGTTTCAATTCTGCTTATAAAGGTATTGTCATTTACGAAACTGTTGTCAGTCAGCTTAAGAGAAAAAGCTTAAAACACTTTATCAGCAACATTTGAAACAAAAGCCACAAAATCATTTCCCTAGTTTACTTAATCTTATGTAACCAATACTTGTTCTGCTGAAATCCAGTTCTTTACTAGTTTAGGAGTAATGAAACAGTGACCATAAATGACAAAAGACTTACAAATGACAATGGTTAAAGACCTAATGAGAGCTTACTATAAGACAAAGTTGACGTAAGAAAATTTGGACATTTCTGTAACATAAAACATTTAGTAACGAAGTTTAGCATCATTCCCTTTGACAGTGCTTTCCAGGTAAATATATATCAGATAAATAAACCACATTAGCCAAATATTTTGCCCAATGAGAAAAAATTCCTCTGACATGTTCCAGGGGCCCTCTGGAAAGTATCAGAGTTAACTAGAGGTAAAAGCACCTTTTTGCATTTGTTTTTTTTTTTTTTGGCACTTGCTTAAATAGGATTATAAGTTTCCATGAAGCAATACTTATTCATTTAACCAGAATGACAACAAAATACATCAAAGGCAAATAAAGAAGGTTACACAGTTGTTAGTAAAGTTTAGCTTTCAGTCCTTTTAATATTAATTAAGATCTCATTTTCTTAAATACTCTGACAACTCACTGAGACTTTAAGCATGAGAAACTGCTTTGATAAAACAGTTAGAGAACCCTTTGCAATCTTTCAATGTTAAGAGCAGACTAACAGTTAAGAAAACTTTGTCTTTTTAACTGAAAACAAAATTCTAATTTTGCTGTGTACTTGATCTCAAGACTCATTTGCTTTAATTTTATATAGCATGACCATATCAGTTCTTCCACAACTTTCAACAACTTCCTTTTACATTCAGTTCTCCCTCTTTAAAAGACAGCTGTACTTTAGAACATTTACTTTCTTTTATCAGAAGACACATTCTTTAGCATGCAGAACGAATTTCCATTCCTTATATCTTCTCTTATTAAAACATACATCTTTTAGCATACAGAAATGTTTTCCTTATTACTTTAAGTAGTTTTAATTGAAACTTAAAACCATTAGGAACCTTAATGAACACTGAGAAGTAGGCTATTGTAAACTGTTACACTAACAGTCTCAAGATTGATGAATTTATGAACACATTTTATAATTTCTGTAACCATGAGCTTTACAGCACAATCTCTCACTAAGCACAAAGTATATCTTCTTAACTTAGCAAAACTTTAAGGTTTTAGGTTACCACAAAGATTCTCAGGCTGTAGGTAGGTATACACAATGTAATATACAATTATTATCAAGTTCACTTGCTACGTTTAATTTACTCATTCTTAACAACTATGCTAGATTACTTACAAAACCTTTACTTAATATTAGACAAAGTCAAGCCTCTAAGCATTTTA